CGCAAAAACAATCGCTCCGGTTCGAAGTCTAAAGATCGGAGCTAGCAAAGCCATACTCCCGCGCTTGCTCCAGTATTCTAGCACGTCTATGCTTTGCTAACTTTCAACACTAAATTATTATATTTATATAAATGGTAAACAGTCACACACACTTATGAATGCCTTGGCAGATCGAGGCGTGGCGTGGATCCAGACAGGAAGTGGAATCTAAAATGTACGATCCACGCCGCGCCTTGATACACCTTGTCCCCTCCTGCCTCATCCCATCCCTCCGCGACCTACTACTCCCCCCATGTCCGGCTCACCTTGTCTTATACTCTCCAACTTGTCCTGCCATGCTCTGTCCTCTCCTGTCCTGCCTCGCCTTGCCCCGCACTGCCATGTTCATAATGCCCTGCCCTGCCCTGCCCTGCCCTGCCTCATAATGTGCCCTACCCCTTGCCTGTTTTTTTATATGGAACTTCAAAACACAGATATCTTATCTTGATTTTGTATCAAAAGCAAAGAAAGAGCATACTGCCTAAATCTCTGAATGTCTTAAAATCTGCCAAGACATTCATAAGAGTGTCTGAACGGACCCTTTCAATAAATATAATAATTTAAGTGTTTAAAAGTTTTCAGTGACCAAAATATTGCAGTAGTAACAAAGAGCAGATGTCTGTAGCAGAGGATGTCATTCAAAAAAGCAGTTGTAGAAAGCAACTCTTTTGGACTTGGTACCCACTGACAGAATCTTCAGACATTTTGACATATCTTCATCAGATATAAAACGAATGTCATCTCGTTTTTAGCAATCCAATGCATGGTGGCCTCATAACTACAACGACCAAGTACTTAAAAACCTCATACTATCCAAAAAGAGGTTTTGAGGTCTTTATGAACTTCTGTCGTCCTTGACATATCTTTTAAACTGCTTTTCCTTGCCGGGAAGAAATGCTGCTTATGAGAACTCAATTTGTATATCTCAAAGGACACACACACAGACAAGCAACTATTTTCTGTGTTTCTCTTCCTCGGCTATCTGAAGTGGAACCTACCTAATAGATTTCGACGATATCTCAGCATAAAGACCTTCCATTACACAATTTTCTCGACATATGTGCAGACATTTTGAATTTTTTAAAAATTTGTTTGTGACGTAAAACTTAGGTTTTAAAGTTAAAAATCATATCACAACATCTTATGTATTACTACATACGTATTATGTACACAACGACTTATATATGACATGTAATGGAGATCAAATGCGTTTTGTTGTGCTATCATTATAAATAAGTGAACAAACTCATTTTCGAGTACGAGACAAATATGAACTAGCAGGATATGACATTTTCTGAGACAGATTTTGCAATCAAAATTAGACCAGTCGTGATGGAAAGAATGTAAATATTTCAATAGAAGTTAATATTTGCTTAGAGAACGCATGGCCGTGTATTATTGCGCATTAATATGCCAACAGTGCAATGAGAAAACTACCCGGAAACCTCCTGAAGTACACGAAACCCAAATATCCGGATCTCCAAAACTGGCAGATGTGTTTGGTACGCCATCAAAGAGCTTTCGCAGACTCTACGTACCCGTCGTTCAGATATTCAACATTTCTACAAACAATTTTAAATCTTTATTGTGTCAACCAATTAATTTCTTCCTTCAAAATACTCGTAAATCGTGAATTCACTACAAAAATAAATTGTGATGCAAAAAGCTGCCTTACACAACGACTGTCCTTGTTTGAAGTGGGTGATCCTTGGATTACCCTCCCCCCTGTCATGTCGCCTCCACAGATCCTGCCTCCATTTCGCTTCCAGATCCCGCCTTCCGTGTCTCCTTGAGTTCTATCTTCCACCCACTCTTCCCTGCCTTCGCCCTTCCCCTGTTTTTGCCTTGCCCCTCCCCTCTTTCTCCTATTCTCCACGCTCACCCCGCCCCGCCCCTTCGCCTCGCCCAT